GTCGCGGATTTTTCCTCAGAGACATGGTCAACGACCCGCTGACTTGATAATTATGCGAAAGTTATGTTCACTGTCCTCGAAGTTGTTGCCGAGCCTGGCACTTACCACATGACTAATTCTCCTGTTCAAACAATGTCTCAATATGAAGTATGGAAACGAAAATGTTTTTGTGTCTGTTGATTGTTTATGGGTCTGGGAGCCATGACTCGAGCAACTCGTGGCTCACACCGTTGTCACATCTTGCGAGTATTTCGGCCTCGTTAAACTTGAACATATGGCTGGGTCCCATCAACTGAGGTACAGCCTGGAACTTGGCGTCAGAGGTCAAGAATTCGAGCCCTCTAAACAGCCACTTTGCCAGTCCGTAGGTTAAAGTTGCTTTGAGAGATATGATTGACCGGAGGGGAGCGCCCTCTTTGTGCACCTTGGGAAGACCATATAAGCCGTTCAGGGCCGTTTCTTGCGCTCCCGCCATGTACCAGTCAATTGGCGATATTGCACCTGAGTTCTCCATTGCCAACAGCGTTGTGGCCCTACTGGATATCTCCGTTTGCCGCAAAGATGGTGGTGGCCTAAAACTAATACGTTAAGGAAATCAACCAACAAAAAGCAAGTCCGGAACTAAAACAGCAACCACCAATTCGCTCACAAACACAGCTACGTAAGTGCGCTATACCGGAGCATTGAGACGCATTGCAGTGAGGTGGAAGACCAAATTGCTGAATTACAATATTTTTGCCGGGTACTAAGGGCTAATGGTTAGCCGCGCAACTGGCCCAAAAGCTTGGCAAACTCTTCCGTTTGCGAAGAATGTATCGGAAGCAGTCAGTTGTGTGCTCATCCCACTTGGAGTAAGAGTTGTGCATAGGCCAGAAGCAACCATCAACCGCCGGATCGTGAGACCGAAAGACTCATTGCCACGGCAGGAAAAAACTGTTGTCAGTTACAGAATCTGCTGCAGTTTTGGAGTATGCAACTACGTTGGAGAAACCGGGAGATTAATCCTGACGCGAAAGGCCGAGCCTGCAGCGATCGTGAGGAAGAAAGACATTACCCCCGATGTTGTAGCTCACTCGACGGGATCCGGCCATATTTTCAAGTTTGACGAGGCCGAAATCATCAACGGGACCCGGCCATATTTTCAAGTTTGACGAGGCCGAAATCCTTGCAAAAATTGACAACCACGTGAGTTGCGAGCCGCTCGAGTCATGGTTATCAGACCCCCAGTCCATCAACAAGCGCATGCATTTTGCGTTTCCCAGCGGTATATTGAGACATTGCCTGAGCAAGAGAATCATTCACTTGGAAGGGTCAGGCCCAACAACAACTCTAAGGACAGCGAGTATAATTTTCGCTTAGGTACCAAGCGCGCATCCGAAACGGACAAGATACTCGCGGCAATTAATGAGTCAATCGCGACGTTTCAAGTCATTACCACATCAATTAAGACCCAAGCGGTGGTGACTAGTGTGAAAAACTGCAGCGCGTACGCGGATGACCGCTTTGCCTCTTTCTTTCTTGCCACTGCTGCGTGCTCGCATCCGGGATATTCTTGTGGTTTCTCCGACGTAGTTGCTTTTTCTTGCATCTGCACCAGATTTGGTAAACGACCCCAGCCATTTCCTGCGGAAGCAGTCAATATTTCGGTCTGCTAACCTGGTTCCTGTAGGTTGTTTCTGTGCGCAACTCCAGCTTTAAGTATAGTGAGCAAGCGGCTGAGTGCTTCCGATGCGCTCTTCACGTACAGAAGAGTTCGCCAAACGTTTCGGCCGCTTGGATTTGGTTTTTTTTCTCGTGTGCGTATTCACTGCGTTAAAAAAATTCGCGAGTTACCATTTGCTCTCAGTGCCCGTCGAAGATACTTGAATTCAGCAATGTAAAGCGCCAGTATAGCGCACTTACGAATCTGCCTTTGTGGTGGCTGTTACAGTTCAGGACTTGCATAGCCAGCCCTCCTGGATGTTCTCATTTGTCACAATGACTATGGTTTCCTAGAGACCGGAGAGACCGGCCACGACTTCGATATCCAAGGAACGACCATTGTATCCCGAGGAGCCCCAAAAGCTGAAGCATTTACGCATGAGGCACGGTACTTAGGCGCCAATTCTGTCAACAGACATAAAGACCTCCATGCGGCCTACAAAGTCCTATGCCAATACGTAAGTAAAGGAAAGGGCAAGATCAAACCAAAGTCAGGATTTGCAGACGAAGACCGCTTTTTGACGACAAGACCGGAAGAGGGGGCAGGATTATCAGCATCCTCTACTGTGGGGACA